ATGTAGTGATATCCACCTTGCAAAAGCGTCTCCAATATGCGCTTCTATCCTTGGTGGGACCTTCGAGTTCCTTTAGGATAGGGTTGCATATTGGGCGTGACAATATATCTTGCTATCACATAGTTGCTTATCTTGCTTAGCATAAGTTGTTGGTGCACATAGGTGAGCCTAGTTGTTTTAGATTTTGTGCTTGACAAATTAACCACTAGGTTTATTCCGCATTTGTTCAAGCCTAAACCGTAATTATTTTAAAGCGCCTATTCACCCCCCTCTAGGCGACATCCTCGATCTTTCAGCGTATGTTATCATAATGGTTCGACCGATAAATATCTTCATAGAATATGTAGGAGCCAATATGGGCATCCAGGTTCCGCTATTGGTTATTGACCAGAGAGGTGTCTCGGTCATGTCTACATAGTTCTCGAACCCGTAGGGTCGCACGCTTAACGTTCGATGTCGATTTGGTATTATATGAGTTATGTGGTTTTGTGACCGAATGTTGTTCGGCGTCCTGGATGAGATCACGGACATGACTAGGACCTCCGGAATAGTCTAGAGGTAAAGATTGATATATATGATGATGCTATTTGGTCTCCGGAATGGTTTCGGAATGCACCGGAAAGTTATCGGAATACCAGAAGGGGTTCTGGAGGCACCGGGAGAGTATTGGGCCTTATTGGGCCAAGTTGTGGGGGACACATCAGTCCACATGGCAGGGGAAGGTGCCACCTCCTCTAACCATATCCCGAAGAGGGGAGGAAGGAAAGAAGGGGGCGCAACAAAGGGAGGAGCCACAGGCTGCCGCCACACCATTTGGGGCGCCCTAGGGGCTACATCCTGCCCTCCCACACCTATATATATGTGGGGAGAGGTGCCACAGAAGACACAGATTATTCCACACCGTGTGTCGGCACCCCTCCACCTCTAGTTTACTCCCCCGCTCTAGATCGTCGTGGTGCTTAGGCGAAGCCCTGCGGAATTGCTTCACCACCACCATCACCATGCCGTTATACCGACAGAACTCATCTACTACCTCGTCCTGCTTGCTGGATCAAGATGGCGAGGACGATACCGAGTTGAACGTGTGCAGAACGCGGCGGTGCCGTGCGTTCGGTGCTTGATCGGGTGGATCCCGAAGGTGTACAACTACATCAACCGCGTTGAATAAATGCTTCCACTTACGGTCTACGAGGGTACATAGACACCCCCCCTCTCGTTGCTATTCATCTCCATGGATATATCATTGCGTGTGTGTAGAAACTTTTTGGTTTTCCATCTAACTTCCCAACAGTTTGGACCTCAGTACCTGAGAGAACCAACTGTGACAGACACCGAGAGGTTCTTGGCAATCTCAGAAGTAAGAGGGTGGCCAGGTTTGCTTGGATCTCTTGACTGCATGCATTGAAAAAGAAAGAACTGCCCGAAGGCTTCGCAAGGATAATATCAGGGTCATGTGAAGAAGCCCACCATCATTCTTGAAGCGGTTGCATCATATGATCTTGGATATGGTACGCTTTCTTTCGTATGCTCGGGTCTCACAATGACATCAAATGTGATGTAACTATCACCATTGTTTGCGAGGCTGATTGAAGCAAAAGCTCCTCCTTGCCACTATACTGCCAATGGACATGAATACAATATGGGCTACTATCTGGTTGACGGTATCTACCCTCCGTGGGTTACCTTCGTTAGCACCATCTCTAATCCAGTTGGCCAGAAAAAGTCTCACTTTGCCCAAAGATAAGCAGGAAAGGATGTCGAGAGGGCATTTGGAGTTCTGCAAGCCCGTTTTGCAGTTGTTTGTGGACCTGCTATACGATGGGATCTAGAGACCTTGTGAAAGGTGATGACATGTTGTGTGATCATGCACAACATGATCGCCGATGATGAGGGTGAGGATACTGCCGCAACTCTAGAATTTGAGAATATGGATGATCGTATCGAACTTCCAGACCAGAATCCGGCCACATTTGAAGAGTTCATTCAAATGCATCAACAAATTCAGCATCGACCAACTCATGAGCAGCTGAAGGAAGATCCGATAAAGCATCAGTGGACGGTTAAAGGGGACAACAATGTTGGAATGTAATATTTAAATTTGAATTAGTGTTGCATGCGGCTATTTGAACGCATGTACTCTATGTATGCGGCTATTTGAACATTTATACTTATGTATGCGGCTATTTGAACGTGCGGACTTTAAAAAAATAGGAGAGACATGATGTATGCGTGCAGCGTTGAATGACTATCTCCCGCATCCGTGTCCACGGACTAGACCCCTATACGCGAACGGATACATGAGAAAAATTTGCGGTGTTTGAGATGCCGTAACGACGGATGGACTGACCCGGCCGGCCTTTTCAGTGGCTGGCCACTCGAGCAGAGGGAGATACCGCGTGGTGGTTGCTTTCAGGGAAGCAGGAAAGTCAAGCACTGGAAAATAATCATCAAGCAGAGATGCTGAACGGGCCTAGCTTGCGTGTTACGTCGCGAGTTCGAGCCCTAATTTGTTTATGAGTAAAATGCAGTGTTGATCATTGAACTTGTCGTATAAACTCATTTTGATCACTGTACTTAAGAATACGGTCAATACGATAACTATATACTTGATGAGGTGATTATACGGTCACTGCCAGATCGTATAGATCCGTATCCATTTGTTTTGACCGGTCAAACAATTCACTTGGCGCCTCATGTCATGTGGGTTATACCTGTCATTCGGTGAAAGAAAGGAGACGAACAAAAAGAAAACTTTACACGAGTACGGATGTCGAAGCGCAGACCTCACGCTCTATGGGCGGGCAGTCTAACCAGTACACAACCCTCACGGCGTGATTAACAAGAGGAAATTCTCTTTTTGTAATTCGCTTCATTCGTGAGACAACCATTCAGTGTTTATTTTTCTGCGTGGCTTTGAGTGAATCGAACCTCACACCTCTCGCTACTGCTCACGAACATTGTCTGATTGATCCCTCTGTTCGCTCAAGTATTATTTTGAGCGAATCCTTATTATAACATGCACACAATACGCATGCATGCACTCGCACACTAGCACGCAGCGGGCAGACACACACTAGTTAGCACACAGCCAGGCACGCACACACCCGCGACCGACGGCGGAGTTGACGCCGCAGGGTTGTACTTGGGCAGCCGCACAGCAATCGTGCGCACAAGGGGAGTAGAGCGACCCAGTGTGGGTGGAATCTTGATGGCCATGTCATGTCACGCAGATGGAGTTGGTATGCGTCGCGCCACCTCATCCCGCTGCTCCTGTGCATCGGCCGGCATCGATCGGTACCACGACGCGGCGAGCGCTCACAAGGAACTACACAAGGGCATGGATTGCGTGAATGAGACAGAGAAGGTCAGGAAGTGTGTGGTCTAATGGTCGTGGTGACCACATGGAAGACACGGCACAAGCAGCGAGGGCTCGGGCTTGGCGTAGAGCAACGGGTCGCCAACATCGGGTGGCAGCCTGACAGGATAGCATGGTCAACAACGGTAACGGCGGACAACTGGCGAGGTGGGACTATATCAGCTGCTTGGCGAGGTACTGCGTGAACTTGACGACAATAGAGGCCACCGTGCGACATATGTCCGTGCTAGTGCGTGTGCACTGCATCCTGCGTGCGTGCACTGCAAGCTGCGCGCTGCATGCGTGTGCTGCTACTGCATACAACGTTCAGGTTCATGCGTGTGATGCTCCTGAATTTGCCACTAGTTAATCACAACTTGCTTTCTTTCACAATGACAGGTAGGACCCGCATGACAGAGAGAGAAAACCGATCTGATGAGGCGCAAGTGGATTGTAATGGATACGGATCTATACGATATGACAGTGACCGTATAATCACCTCATCATGTACATAGTTACCGTACTGACCGTATTCTGAAGTACAGTGACCAAAGTGAGCTTATACGACAAGTTCAATGACCAACAGTGCATTTCACTCTTTGTTTAGAGTTACTTTTCACGAGGCGTTCAAACCAGAGGGGCTTTTGGGCTTTTGGCATCGGCAGCAAGTTGATTGCGGGCGGAGACTTGACTTGGACAAGCAAGGTCTGTGGGAGATGGATTAAGACTTGAGCGCCAACAGTGCTTCGTATAATATCACCACCTTTTCATTTTCATATTTATTCTGTTCTCCCTGGAATCTTATGACGATTGTCGTCCCTCAATCAAAGCTGAGCCATGTTTTCCTTGCGCCACGCAGGTGACAGGACATAGAAAGGGACTAACTTTTGCACTCATCATGCAAAGGTTAAGCAACCTAAAAATGGAAATGCAGAGGTCAAGCAAAAACGTGATAGAACTTGAAGCAGAATCCTCCGGTGGCCAAACGGGTTTCTAATTAACACGATCCCCTTTGTCGAAAAAATTAACACGACCCCAAATGCTTAAGAGTAACCAGTAGTATCGATTTGATAAGAACGGACCATAATACTAGAAGCACACACACAAGAAAGGAAGGACGGATCGGACCATAATACTTGCTTATCCGTCCCTCCTTTTTACAGTACCATACCATACACGAGCACACAACCAAACCCGAGCAAGCAGCACACAAGACACAACCTGAAGACCTGGCTACGATCGACCAGACCAGCTCGAGGAGATGAAGACGCAGCGGAAACATATCGGGAGGTCGCACTAAAAAACCTTGGCAAGCCCCCCGAGATGCTAGCAGCTGAGGCTTCACCACCAACCAGCAGCAGCAAGAAGATCGCCGAGGCGGACCCAGCTCAAGACGCAGAAACTACGGATGGGGAGACCAGTTGCTACCTCTAATAAGGCAACTGAATCCATCCACCACTGAGTACTGACGCTGACGCGACGGAAAATTAACAAACTACTACAATGAGCACAGAGTAGTAGTAGTAGTATTTTGCTCCGGCCTCTGCTGCGCGCACTAAAATGAGCACAGAGTAGCAACAGAGGACGAGATCGACGAGGCAAGGAGAGCACACCGAGCGAGCGGGTGGAGGAGAACGGGGGTGGTTCACTTGGCGTCGGCGTCGCCGGCGGCCGGGAGACCGCCGGTGCCGGCGCCGTTCTTGTCGGCGCGGACGAGCCCGGCGGCCAGGTTGGTGACCGCGGTGATCACGTCCTTGATGATCCGCTCCTTGATCTGGCCGCGCCTCGGCAGGGACGTGCTCCCCGTCGGCGCCTTGTTGCCGCCGCCGGAGCCGGCGGGCCCTCCCGCCGCGGGCATCGCCGGTGCTTGAGCCTGGTAGCCCTTGGTGGCCATTCTTCCGTCGAGGCTGGGTATCCTCCACGCTGCGAGCCGAGACCGGTTAAATAGGCGGCTGTGCATGGGCAGAGAGCAGAGCGATGGCCGGAAAAGAGCAGAGATGGCGGGTCCCAAAGCGCGCTCGGGCATGGGACCCAAAAGCGTATATGGCGGGCTCGGGCTTACTGGCCGGGAGCTCGCGCGTCTCAGTGACAGGTGGGGTAACCAGGTGTCACGTGGGGACGCGGCCAGTGACTCGGCAGAAAGCGTCCACATCTAAATTTTGGACGGTCGACTGTGGGGCCGCCTTGTACTTTCTATGCTGGGCGCTGCTGCTAGCCTGCTAGTGGCAAGTCTGCACGGCTTGGCTGGCTTGGATGGCAAGTCGGTAGTGCAAGGTTTCTCGAAGAGGTAATAGCATCCCACGTACCCTAACTTGCACCCAATGTGATGATCTAGTCCCAAAGTTGCAAAACTAGATCAACTCATACCCCAACTTGCAACCAATGTGATGTTTTAGTCCCAGACCAATCAGAGCTCGCCAATTGGCTGCCAAGTGGCTGGCCGGTCAGCGCCTGCAGTTTTGCACAAACCCCCCTGCCGTTTCACTGATTCAACCTGCAGTTACCCCCCACATGAACCCCCACCTGAATTAAATCTGTGCTCGACGAAATTCCGCGGAGAAGTTGGTGCTTGCGCGCGCAGTTCCTGCTCATGTCCAAGAGCCGCAACATCAGCCGCCTGCTTGCCGAGCAGGACGAGCAGCGTCTAGAGGGCCAGCGGCGGCGTCGGCATGGGAGTTCTGAAGGCAATGTCGAAGAGCATGCTGCGGCAGAAACAGAGATTGAGGAAGCAGAGGAGGAGGACGGGGACGAGGAGCAGCAGCATGTTAGGATGCATGACGGCAAGTCGTACCGCATCACCTTCCCGGACTTTCCCGGCGGGCCAGGCACCTTCGAGGCGGCGCCAAGTTCTGCTACGGCGTCCGCGTCGAGCTCACACCCTGGAACGTCGCCCTGCTGCGGTGCGCGGCCGAGTACCTGGAGATGACGGAGGAGCACTCCGAGGACAACCTGGCCGCACGCGCCGAGGCCTACCTCTCGCAGTCTGTGCTCCTCCACCAAGGCGCTCAAGTCCTGCGAGGAGCTGCTGCCGCACCCGAGGAGCTCGGCATTGTCGCCCGCTGCATGGACGCCATCGCCGCGCGCTCGTCGGCGACGTCGCGCTCCTGGTTCGGCGACCTGGCCGTGCTCGGTCCGCACATGTACAAGCGGGTGATGGTGGCCATGGCCGCACAAGGACGTGATGACGGAGGCTTTGGAGGGCTGCCTCGTGTCCTACGCCAAGGCCACCCTCCCGGGGCTGTCGAGGTCCATGAGGTGGCGCCGCGCGTCCGCGCCGGTCTCGTCGGAGGTGGAGCAGAGAGACCTCCTGGAGGCGGTGGTCGCGAGCCTCCCCGCGGACAAGGGCTCGGGGAGCATGGTGACCGCGAAATTCCTGGTCGCGCTGCTGCGGACGGTGCACATCCTGCGCGCTTCCGACGCGGCGCGCGCGGCGATCGAGCGGAAGGCCGCGACGCAGCTGGAACAGGCAACGGTGGAGGACGTGCTCATCCCGAGCTACTCCGGCGCCACGGAGACGCTCTACGACGTGGACTACGTCGAGCGGGTGCTCAGGCACTTCCTGGTCGAGGAGGAGGTGGGCGAGGACGAGGCGTCGTTGTCAGCTGCAATCACCGAGGAGGAAGCGGCGGCAAGGACGATGGCGTCACGTCCGTTGACCGTGGCAATGGTGCAGGTGGGCAAGCTGGTGGACAACTACCTGGCAGAGGTAGCGTCCGACGCCAACCTGAAGCCAACCAAATTCTGCGAGCTCGCGCTGGCAATGCCGGACCACGCCCGCATCTACGACGATGGCGTCTACCGCGCCGTCGACATCTACCTCAAGGTACGTACATTCCCCGATTTGTCATTGACTGCTTCTTTTTAGAGCATTAGGAAGCCACAAGGCTTCCCCGGTTCCATTGCAACGCTTGAAACCAGAGTTGATACAACGTTCAGGAAAAGAAAAAAACAGAAAAAGTAAAGACAAGCTACCAGCCGCGAAGGCACCCAGACTACAACTAAGGAGCTAAAGAAACTAAAAAGACCTTGCACAGGGCTAGTCTACAAGGAGTGTCGGAGTCTGGTTGTCGAGTAGCAGTTTGTTGCCGACTCCATGGCTCGTGACTGGTGCATGCATGCGCAGGCGTATCCGCGGCTGACGGCGGAGGAGCGGGACAGGGTGTGCGGCGTGGTGGACTTCAGGAAGCTGACGGTGGAGGCATGCACGCACGCGGCGCAGAACGAGCGGCTCCCGCTGCGCGCGGTGCTACAGGTGCTCTTCTTCGAGCAGCTGCAGCTCCGATGCGCCATCATGGGCACACTGATAGCGTCCATGGCTTCCCCGCGAGCGCGGCATCCGAATCCTCGTCTGCAGCGGCCAGTGGCGGCGGTGCGTCACGCCGCTGGCCCGAGCGAGGCGTGGCAGACGACAACGGTGCAGGAGAGCCAAACGCTGCGGGTGGACATGGACGACATGATGAGCCGGGTGCAGGGCCTGGAGAGGGAGTGCTCCAGCATGCGAAGGGCGATCAAGAAGATCGACGGCAGTGGCGCCACGTCGCAAGGCAGCGGCAGCCCAGATGTGGCCGCCCCGGCAGGCTGGCGGTCCAGGTACCGGTGCAAGTTCAGCACGCAGGTGTGCGACTCGCAGGCGCGCAACGCGGTCGTGTCCAGGGCGTCCAGGATGGGGATGAGCCTAGGATGGGTGTCCAGGGCGTCCAAGCCGTCCATTGATAAAAGGAAATGACAGGGGGGTTTGTGCAAAACTGCAGGCGCTGACCGGCCAGCCACTTGGCAGCCAATTGGCGAGCTCTGATTGGTCTGGGACTAAAACATCACATTGGTTGCAAGTTGGGGTATGAGTTGATCTAGTTTTGCAACTTTGGGACTAGATCATCACATTGGGTGCAAGTTAGGGTACCTGGGATGCTATTACCTCTTTCTCGAAGGAGGCAAGTCGTCACTTGCTGATATTGCGAGTGATCGTGGCAGATCAAAGTCTGCGGGATCGATCCGCAACTTCATGTGCAGATGCGCTTTCGCTTTCTTGTCACCAAGTGACGGCTTGAGCTGTTGATGGGGCGGCTGGCCGAATTGCGCATCGGAAGCAGAAAGGCGCGTTCACATTACACGTTAGTAGCTGCGATTAATAGCTGCAAATTGTCTCGGACGGAAAATAATTCTACAAGATGACACGTGGCATTCATAAATCACAAAGCATCTACCCCACCCCCGCCTGAAATCGGGGGGAAGAGATTAGATGCTTTGTGATTTGTGAATGCCACGTGTCATCTATCAGGGCGGGTCTCACCTGCTTTATATGAGACCTGGTCTCACTGTTTATACTAACCGAACGAAATTCATGCAAACACGGCGGATTTCATCAAAGTTCGGATAGAAAATAATACTTCCTCCAAAAAAATATAAGAACGCGATACGTCAAGACGCCCGTCGACTCCGTCTGTAGACGTCTTGCCTCCGCAGTCGACTCCGTCTGTAACACCCCAAAAATTCAACCATGATTTATTAATTAAAGTGTTGCCTTGGTAAATTAAATTTTTATTTTTTGGATTTTCTTTTGATTCAGAACCACTCTTTTCTCCTGTATTGTGGAGTTTCCACCCCAAGTAAAAACTCTTCAAACGTTGTTGGGCTTGTATACCCTCTCAAGAAACATTTCTTTCATCAATGGACTTATTTCTAAAATTATTTTTCCTGAACTTTAATTCTTTTAAAATGGTTTCTCATAAGCCTTAGAGCCTCTTTTGCACTACAACCCTTTGATAAATTTATTTAAAAACTCCACCAAAATTTAGGGATGACATATGATGTTCCTAAATCACTTTTATGCAAAAACCTCTCTTTAGCATTTGGAGATTTTGAGCTCTACCCCAAGTTTTCAAATCTGGATCAGTTTGTGGTTTGCACTGCAACCTATTTAAATATTTCTTTAAAAATTTCACCAAAGTTGGGAGATGTTAGTAGATGCGTATTATTCAACTATATGCAAAAACGCACTGTTCTTTGAAAAATTTGAGCAAAACATCCTCTTTTGCTCTCTGGCCCAGTTTGGTATTTTCTACTGCAACCATATTTTAACTTACCCTTTTACCCATGATTCTTTTTCCTGCTTATAGACCACTCTACCAAACCCTTAAGTCCACGAGATTGGACCCATTGGAGTATTTTTGGTCCATGCAATAATGACCTTTAGTTTCTGCCCAGATTTGGTTTTCTCACAAACTTGCACTGACAAGTTTCTGGTTTTGCCCAAATAACCTTGCCATCATCACTTGTACCTAAAGAGACTATGATCTGGAGTTTTTGGACACCCCAAGAGATGCCTAGATGCCTATGGCATTCTGTCAAACACCTTGAGCACATGAACAGTATTGGCATGAACTCTAGTTTGCATTTTGAACCTGCTTGCTTTGCCAAACCAGTATGTCCACTAAGCTCCTAGATAACTCTAATCTAGACCTGTTAGTCCCCAGCCTCATCCAAGCATCCCGGCATGCCTTGGCATTTTGCCGAACACTTGGCGTGCGTGCTCTGGGCGCGGCCAGAGCGCGCGTTCTGCATGTGTGTGCGCCCGAGTCGCCGCGTCTCGTTGCCGCCTCCCCGCGTTCGTTCTGATCCGTGCCCGCCCCCAGCCAACGCGCCCGACCCCTCCCTCATCGCAGAGCCGCCCTGGCCCCCTCCTGGCGCCCTACAGCGCCACCACCGCAAGCCGCCACCGCCGCTCCGACAGCCTCTGCCATGGACGGCGCCGCCCGAGCCACAGCTACGCGCCAGCTCGCCCCTGGAACTGTTGGAAATATGCCCTAGAGGCAATAATAAAATGGTTATTATTATATTTCCTTGTTCATGATAATTGTCAATTGTTCATGCTATAATTGTATTAACTAGAAACCG